AAGTAGACCACGACCATACAAAAGGCCACAGCATTTTGGTCTTCATGCCTAATGATTTTATGGATACTCCCACCTGAATTTTCTCTCGAATAGAAGAGTCCATTTAAGTGAAGTAATTAGATCATTCTACATATGTACAAACCTTTAAAGTGTTTGTGCCATTATAAACATTAATTTTTAAAACGTTATTTATTTGCCTTGGTGTACGCAGCCGAAAATTTAATTTGTATTTCTACCATCTCACATTTCAGCACGGGTAGCGGCATGTGTAACATGTCCCAGAGAAATGAATTTTCCGCTCTTTCCGCCGGATACATTCTCGCCCACTACATGTGCCTCCCCCATTCCCATCAGTTGTCAATCCACAACCTCCCTAACACACGCTTACTCCGCCTACCAATTGAGTGCTTCTGATACTCAGCAGACCCTCAAGACTCCAAACCATCATCATCATCCTCATTCTCACCAACATCAACCACAACCACCATCTTACAGTCCTCATTCTCCTCTAACCTGCCATCATAATGCCTCGTCGCAGCATCCAGGCCCACAGTTGATGGCAGCAGCAGCAGCGGCTGCCGCGGCAGCTGCGGCAGCCGCCGCCGTCGCCATGCGTCAGGCAACAGTGGGTCATCTGGGCTTGCCGGGAGCGGATTCTAGTGCTGACGAGCCCCAAGTCTTTTCAGGGCAGACCTCAACGATTGCCCGGCAGGATACAGGCGAAGCTCAGCTCACCTCTACTACAGAGATCTGTACCTCTGAAGCCCCAGTACCCACCTTCAAGAACCGACATTCACCCACAATTACCGCCTCCACGAGTTCTCCACCGCTTGCAAAGGTCTCTTTCTCACAAGACCCTTATTCAGCAGTAGCAATGCCTGCTGAGGTCTGTTCTACCGCCTCAGATGTCTACCTGACCTCGTCTGGCCTGGCGCAAGGCTACAGCCTGCGAACATTGCAGACTCTCTCCTCTTTGAATGAGCCTATGCCTCGGCTGAATGAGGCTAGGGAGCCTCAACGCAGTCTCTTATACGCTCATAATTCACTGTCCACTCGCATGCACTCTCAACACAAGAATACTGCTCAACCAAACGTCGCCGCACACTCCCTTTACAAGCAACCCACTGAGATGTCCTTGAATCCTGTACATCCTCCTCCTCATCATCATCACCAACATCATAGTCATCATCAACAGCAACAATTACTACAGCCATCCTCGCAACAGCAAAGTCAACACCTGATGCCGGATCCAAGCGATAACTCACACATTAATCCCTTTAACTCTCCTAACTCGTTTCACCTCGGACATCAGATACGCCAAGACGTTGCCTATCCTCTGTCTAACGGCTATACGTCCAGCTCCGATCTGGAATATGCCCTCTCCACAGTGGATTCTGCCTATGCCGGTGATTCAACGAGCCATTCGTCCGTCTATCAGTCCGCCTGTTTTTTCGGTTACCCCGACACCAGACGTCAACATGCAGATGCCGATACGAGCTCTCAACAGATGACGGCTGGAGGACATCCTGGTGTATCCTATTTCGCATCGACTGCCCTCACAAACACTAGTTGCGTGAGCAGTAATAGTAGCGGCAGTCACAATAACCACAGTCACAACCATCATAGCGACAACATCATCAACCCTGAATCAACTGTCATCTCGCCAGCAAATACCTATAATCTCGGAGTGTCGGGTTATGATGAAGTATCCTCTGCCGTGAGCTCGATGAGGCCTAATAGCGGACATTCCTGTTACCAGGCCAGAGTCACGTCTCCGGGTCCAATGGGCTCCGCTATCGACAAGTTGACTGGGTGGGTGGGCGGAACTAAGGCGAGATGCATAAATCGGCCGAGCTCGGATAGTCATCGGCAAGAACCTGGAATCCCCGGCTCGCATGTGCTCTCAAACCTCCCTCCAGTCTCCTCATCCGCCGCCTCCTCCTCCTCCTCCTCTTCCTCCTCCTCTTCCTCCTCCTCTTCCTCCTCCTCTTCTTCTTCTTCCTCCAGTCTGGCCATTTCGCCTTCTACCTCGTTGGCTATACAGCCTTCGATGTGGTCCAGTTGTGAGTCGGCCTCCTCTAGGAATAACCAACATTTTCCAACAAGCCTGGCCGAGCTTCCAAGCAGTTCAGCCGCAATCAGTTACACTGGTTTTCCAAACTGTCGCCCCATGAGAATGGATCAGGCAAGGCTGGCAGAAGAGGAGCTGGGTGGACAGGAAGATGAGGAAGAAGAGGAGGAAGAGGAGGAAGAGGAGGAAGACGGAGAAGAGGACAGCGAGGACGAAGCCACAATGGAGGATGCCAGTACCGGGGATCAGACCTCTAAAGCGTCTTTTAGGTTGTTAGCTCCCGTGGCCAAAGGTTTGACCGATCTGAAGCCATCTCGACGGCTCTGTCTCGCGCATCCCGGCTTTGTAGCCAACGGAACTGCAGGACCGAGTCCTGGCTTTCGGCACCCCGTTGCCTCATCCGTCTCTTATTCCTTCACATCCTCCTCTTCTACTGCCTCTTCTTCTCCCCATTCCACTATTATCACAGCTACTACCGAGATGCCTTCGACTAGCCCGAATCTTAGGGCCCCACCAGCATCACTGTCGAATGAGCCCCTCTTTGCAACCAGCGCCATCGTTGCGCCCACCTCAACTTCATCAGCCGGCAACACCAATTCGACTCTGGTGACCGATTCGGGCTACAGTCCTGTAGCCGCCCACCTGTACACTTGTTTATCCGATCATGCCTTCAGACTTCATACAACCAACTCCCTCTCCACCTCCGTATCCGCACCCTCATCTGCAACCTCTTCCTCGTCCACTCCACCGCCCTCGTTTCCCCCTCGAGCGGCCAGCAGCTTGGTGCCACCGAACCCCACGGTATTGATACACCTACATCGAATGCACTAATCCATCCCAGATACCAAGCCTAGTCACCAACCGCCTCACGCCTCGATTCGCATCGCTATGTAAAAATGGCAGGCTTGCTTCGCCCGTATTAACAGAACTGCGTATAGTGTTAGGATGGACAATTAACAACTGTTGTACTTAATGATTATATTCGTTTGACGAAGTGAAAAACGTCTCCTGTAAATCCTTAATCCCTTTTCGTCATTCCAGCAGATGAAAGGCAAACAGAGAGAGACAGAAACAAAGAAAGATTCAAGGTAGAGATTACAGTGCTCTACAAGTGATTTCTATGAGGAATAATGTTTTGACTGGCCAACACCAATCAAGCCCATTATCAATAAGTTAAATATGGTGGCATTTATGAACAAATTAAATCTGTCTTTCAGTTCGCACAACACCC